CTGTCCCCATTCTCCCGAGCTCCCTGTCAGCTTTGGTGGTGGAAAAAGAAATCCCTGGTACTGCTCCCCACTCCTGCAGGGGCTGATTTGGGGAAGCTGTGTGTTCACAGGGAGGATTGTTGTCCTCCAGCAGCTCTGCCACCGGGTGCTGTGCAGGGACCAAAGTGAGTCAACGGCCTTGGGGACAACTTTCAGCCTGGACAAGGCCACCCTGCCAGCCTGGGGACACCAAAGAGGACAGTGGTGGCTGTGCTCTGCTCAGCAGGAGATGGCTCTTTGGGGCCACGGGGTGCTCACAGACAAGGGGTGGGAAGGAACAACAGGGAACTTTGCTCCAACCTCAGTTGCCATCTGAGCTGGTGACCTCCTGGCACTGCTGGCACTAACACACTGTGGTCCACGCACAGGCACGAAAGAAGCTCTCACTGAGAGCCTGAGAGCCCTGCCAGGGTCTCAGCCACACTCTGAACTCCTGCCAAGGCCAGTGGGACCAGCAGCACAGGGACATGCCCCCCAGCAAGCCCCCACACCAGGGGTTGGGCCGTGTGTGCTGCAAGGAGGCCGTGGCTGCAGCAAATGCTGAGATAACTCAATTTTCGAATTAAACCGAGGTCCTACGGGTCTTCTAAAAACTCAGGCTCCACATCCATTCGTCTCCTCAAATATACACAGCAGGAGTTTGAGCCCACTTCCCACTAGGAACGAGATTGATCTCTCCTGCCTCCCTTCCCCACGCTCTCCTCACCACGCCACCCTCTAAGCACTTCTGCAGCTGGAGGAGCTGCTTCATGGGAGCAGCTTTGTGCTTGCTTCAGGGGGATTTTGGGGGGGGAAAACAAACAAAACACAAACAGGAGGGACCACACTTTTCAACATGCCTTCTCTTTTCTCCTCTCCACTGGCCACAGCTGCCCTGTGGCTCCAGTCATGCACAGGAGCATCCCTGTCAAAGGTGCTCTTGGGAGGGATGGGGAAACAGGGCATCCCTGCTCCTCCTAGGGCCTCTTGCCTTCCTGCAGCCCAGCCAAGGGTCAAGGAGGTTTGCAGAAACCTGGGATCTCACTGTTTCAGCCTGTGCCTTTGGGTGGACTCCAGGGCTGTGCTGGGCAATAAGAAGGGTGTTGCCCACCTCATGGCATGAGGTGAGGGCAGGAGGAGCATTTGAAGGTGGAAGAGGAAGGTCACCACAGCCTGGGACTCTACCTGGGGTGATGTGCAGATCTCTTCCTCTTTGACTCCAGGGTGTTCACTAGAGGGAAAGCACCCAGGGTCACCATATCTCTTTTCTCTCCCACCACATGCACTTAACAACATCCTGTCCTTGAAGTGCGGGGGGGGCATTTTGCCAGCAGAAAGCCCCACCACAGATAGAGACTCTTTGCTCTTGGGCCTGGCCAGCCACTGACACTGGTGGAGGTTTCTTCCACAGCCTTGCAGTGGAGAATCTCCTCCAGCTTCACCTGGACACAGCAGTAGAGGGACCACTGTGGTGTCTGCACTGCTGCAGAGCACAAAGGAAGCAGAAGGGAGACATTGGTGTAGATCAAAACACGATGCAGGTTCCAGAGACATCCAGAGAGGTCCCTGGAAGGTGAAGCCAAGGTCACAGCTTCCCTGGATCTTCACAACTTTCGAACTCACAGTGTGAGCATTCAACACTGAGAAGCAATGGAGCTACAAGAGCTATGAGCTTACTTGGACCAGTTGAATGTCACCAGCTGACTGGAACCACTGCAGAGAAGAATCCAGCACTGCCTCTGCTCCAGCAAGCAGTCCTTGCTGTAAAACCTTCCACCCACAGACACATCATTTGTAACAGCTATGAAAAAGACGTTCAGCAAAACCCTTCAAAGGTGCTTGGACCTTCAAACACATCTCCTTAGCCCTGGGAAACTCTTTGCCCAGCACTGCCACAGTCCCCAGCAAGGCTGAGGCTATCAGTGACCAGGCAAGCTCTCTGACCAACACATTAAACCACAAGGAGAAACAAAAGAAACTCCCAGCAGGGGCTCAATCTGTAGTTTTCATCACATCCAAGAAGGAGAAGAGGGCCCTGATACACTGCTCCTCCCCACTGCTGGGAGCAGGAGTGGTGCTGGAGCAGGGCTGGGAGGACAGATCACACACAGTTGAGAGTTTCCTTGAACTCACAGTACAAATGCCTCGGGACAAATGCTCCCTGGGCAGCAAAAAACCTCCTGGAGCCCTTTAAATTTCAAGTCCTTGCTTCAAAGCGAGAAGAAAACGGCAATTCCCAATGACATGGAAATAAAGAGTTTTCCAACTTATTTCACGTGGGCAAAATAATATATTTTCACCTAATCTCCCTCTTGGAAATGGTCAGTTTTAGCTGAAATCAAACATGCACACAAAGAAAAATCACAAATCAGCCCAATGCAGACACCCAGTGTGGAAACTCAAACCCCAGCACTTAAGAGTCTGGCAAGGTCATCAGCAACTGAGAACACGGCCTTGGCCAGGGTGGTAGCTGTAAATTTTAGGAAGTGCGTAACTCACTGCTCTGAGGCAGATGAAAAGACAAACCTATTGGAAAAAACACACATACTGAAGAGGGCAAAATGTCTTTACCTGTGTCTTGCCTCATATCTGCTGCTGGGCTTGTATAGCACGAACTTTCAGCCAAGTTCATAGAAGTTAATATCCACCTTATTAATGGCCTTGCTTTCTCTCTGTACACATACAGCATTAACTATGTGGACATGTATGCAAAGAGAAAGAGCTTCAGTGTTTACAATTATTAATTTTTTAATACTACAAGGGAATTGGAATGTGCCTGCAGTTCCCAGGAGGCCAGCACTTGCTGTATTGATTGAGGATCAAACACCCCAGCTGTGAAAGGCAGGCAGGGGAGAGCTGTGCTTGGAGATGCTTTGGCTTAGCCCAGGCATCTGCAAATCATGTTTATGCCATGGGTGAACACCACTCTGCAGTGCCTGGGATCACCCTGTTCTCCTACTTGATGCTGAAAAAGGACATTTCATCATCCAGATGGTACATGAGATGCTCCTGATGGCACCCACCCTGGGGGAGCCTCTCCTGAAGTGCAGAGCAAGGCCATGGTTAAACTGGCAGCTTTCCAGGGCACCAGGGCACACTGCTGGGTCTTGGTGACAGGGTGATGTCCCCATGGTGGCGGCGGCTCCTCAACACCTCTAAACCCCTATCCCTTTCATGATCACCCTCCCTGCCTTCACACTCACGGGGGAAGATGAGGGGAAGGCACATTCCTGCCCCTGTGGGACCTTACACAGAGAGGCCCCTCCACCCCTGGGTGAGCAGGTGGAAGTGGAGGAGGAGGAGGGATACATGGAGCACAGCCCCCTGGAAGATGTCTGGGGTGTCTCTGGTTTGTTGCCTGGCCGGGGTTGTGTTTGTTTGCGTGTTTGTTTGCCGGTTTTCCCGGCGCCTCAGCAGAGAGCACAATGCGGGCTGTGCTCCAGCTGCAGCTGAAGGGGCCAGCCCCTGCAGGAGCCAGGGGAGAGGGAGGGAAGGAGAGAGGCTGCTGCTGGTGAAACACAGGCTCCAGCTCCCCAGGTCAAGGATGCACCCCAAGTGAGCACAGCAGCATCGGCAGGGCTGGGGGGACAGGCGAGGAAGAGGAGGAGGAGGGGACCTTGTGCAGTCAGGACCAGAGAGACAGGACAGCATTGCTACCTGGTGATGAACAGTGTCCATGGAGATCCTCCAGATCCTGCTTGCTTTCACCATTACCCCTTCCCCGCTGGCTAACCTACCTCTTGTATCCCAAAAGGAATGTCTTCCCGAGGATTGCTGCTGGGAAGCGCATCTTTCTTGCCTGCAGAAAACCAGTTTTCCCACTGCTCTCCCTGTACCCGGTGATGCCTCATCCCAGCACTGCCCTGGGCATGCTGATAACAGCAGGTCAATGTCTATACAAGAACTGCCCAGCAGGAAGAGCAGGCACGGGTGGGGAAAGAATGCAGGCAAAAATAGTAGTGGGAGAAAGGGAGTTTGGGGGGAAATAGCTGGGAGGATAGGGGAACTGAGGTATGGAAGTCAGGCACGGTTGTATGGAAGAACCAGGCGGCTTGAGAGATGGAAAAGCAGGAACAAGATCAGGAGGTAGACAGGGAAAGACAGTTCCCATAAGGGACTTGGGTGCCAGAAGAAGCATGGGGGCTCTTCTGCCCATGGATTTGGGAAGAGGATGAAGCATCACTGCTGGTGGTCACACCTCCATGTGCCAGGATTGTTTCCTGACCTGCAGCCCTCTGCATCCCACCCACAGCTGCTGAGCCCTGGCTCACTCCAGGCATCCTAATCAAGTGCAGGCTCAGTGCTAATAAGTGACTTTAAGCAGGTCTGTCATTTTTGGATCCGAGATTGAGGTCAGAGGGCTGTGGAGGGGGGTGGGGGTGGCAGCGAACCGAGAAAGAGGGAAATCAATCTCCATAGGATTAACACTGAAGCTCTTGCAGAAGCCCAGCCCCAGGGAAGGGTGGCCTCCAGACTGGCTGGCCCCTCCTGGAGTAACAGTGACCTCCTGTGGCTGTGGGACTGTCCCAAGGGGCTGATTGTTCCCTCCCTCTGCACGGGTGCTTTGCAAGGCCACGGTTGAGCCCTGCAGGGCTTTGGCCACCCCTCACACAGGTAACTCTGAGATCCCAGGAGTGAAGGACTGAGCTGATACCTGGCTCCTGAGACCCCTCCACAGGACACATCCTGCACACTGGTGTCTGCTGTGGGGGACATTGGGAACGACTTGGCTGCTTATGGCATTGCCTTCACTGCACCAAAGGCAGGGAGATGCAGGTCTGAGAGTGTTGTGGGGGGTGGGCAGCAGGGTCTGCCAGCTCCATCCCTGACACCATCCCAGCAGCATTCCCCTCCAAACACACACACACCCCAAAACACCCCCTCACCCCAGGGAACCCAACATCCCTGCAGCGACTGGAGAGGGGACTGAGAGGATCACAGAGGTGGGGGGGGGGGGTGTGGTCCCTCTCTGGCTCACTCACCTCCCTGGTGTCGTTCTCCTGGATCAGGGCGTACAGGGGTACTACCCTGTTGATCTCCAGTAGGACCGGTGTGGGGCTGAGCTGCTCCTTCCCGGGGCGCCGGCACAGGTGGCAGGTGGAGGGGCAGCGCCCTTTCTCCTCGCAGTGGATCTCCACTCCGGAGATGAGGTGGTCATCAGACAGCATCTGTGCCGTCAGCAGGCCTGACAGGTACGTGATGAAGGGCATGGATTTCAGCTCCTTCTTGTTCCCAAGCTCAGTCGTTTCTGGTTTAGGAGAGGGGAGAAATCAAACAGCGTTAAATAAATCTCGGCACGGTCCTCTTCCCAAAACCCAAACCTCGCCAGGATAAATGCAGCTGCTGAAGGTTTAGGCCAGGTGGGAGCAGGAAATCAGAAAGATTGAGGAGAAAAGCAGGACTTTCACGTCACTATGTCAACACTCTGCCTCAAGGAAACACTCAGGCCCTTGAAGTCCACTGTGAAACCTCCTGGTGGTGTTCACCACAGGCAGACTAACCTGGAGAGCCTTTGCTTCGCTCTGTGTCTGTCCAAACACTTGGTAAGGACAAGGGAAGTATCACACCTGGTGATACTCTGAGCGAAGGAGACACAACTCCCACCTCTGCCCTCTACAATTTAAACTCCAGTTTAAATACTTTGTCTACAGGCCCAGCTTCCCTGCCCTGCTGTCACAGCTACAGAAGAAAAGCCTTTCTTCATCCTGTGCCCAACACCATGAGCTGGATGGCTGTTGCCTCCAACAACAAATTCCCAGTCCCAAGAAGGAGCTGAAGAGGAACAAGGGCTGTCTCAACACCCTGCGCTTGCAGGGACATGCAGCTGATCTGGCAAGGCACTATTCAGTTAGAAATACAAATAAACACAATATTCATTCATGACTCCCAGAGCCCTCCAGGGTAGGGACAGCCCTTCCCTGCTGTCTGGCTGTCAGGGAACACTTCTGTGCACAGGATCAAAGCTGTCACGGGGAGAATGAGCAAATTCCAACCAACTCATCTTTTAGAGGAATAAAAGAGGGGCAGTTGCTAAGATAAATTAGAACAAGGCTGTGAGATGTCTCAACGTCTAGGGAGACACTGGTGAGCACCGACATGGAAAACAGGAGTTGGAGATGGTTATGGAGAGATTATTTTCTAGAAGATCAGCTCCAGGCAACTTCAAGTCTCTCAAGGGAAAGCCATGAAACCTTAAAAAAATGGGTGGCTTAGAAAGAAGCAAGTTACAGGGAGATACTAGGACCCTCTTCCTGCTTCTGCATAAGAGTATATATATATATTTTTTTTTTTTAATCACTACTGTACAAAAGGAAGAAGTTTAATACAATTCTGGGCTGCAAAGCTTCTTTACAAGAGCTGAAGCAGAGATTTCTGAGATCCACCATCTCTGGTAGAATTTTTGGAGCCCTGCTTTAAGGGAGGACATGAACAGAGCTGAAGAGACAGTGGAATCAGTTATCTCATGATTGACAATAGGATATCAAGCCTTCCTTCCTGAATTATTTGCTTTATAGCAAAGAATTATAGACCACTATCCCTCATCTGCTTGCTCAAGGGGTGGAAAGTATCAGCTCCAGGTGTTTCATCCCTAGAAAGCTGAAGATTTCCTCAACAGAGATGGTACTTCCTTCTTCTCCCACACACACCACCCACCACTCATGGCATCTCACAGAGGAGTTACTCAGATCTGAGAGATAAATTTCCCTCCAAAACATATTCCTGTACTGCCATTGAAACTACAACCTGGGAAAAAGGGATAGGGGTCCCTCTCTCTCCCTCTCTCCTACCTCTGAGATGAGTTCTGGTTGTGTCCTCAGCCACCTGCATGCAAGGAGGGGGCTCAGGGTGGAAACCACCCGTCCCAGGGCAAACCTGACAATGAACCGAGGAGACTACATGTTCCTGGAGGCTCAGCCTGGCTTTTATTACCTGTATAGAACAGGATAACCTCTGAGGACACTCTGATTACTCCTACAAAGCCTCTGCTTCACTCCTGGGGAAGGGCTTTGCAGGTGATCACTGCGAGGGTGCTCCAAAGGTCCCGTTCTGGCAGGAGGGTGAGGCTCAGCTGCAGGGGCTGCAGCAGGGAGGATACAGGGATTCCTTATCAACTCTTAAATCTGAACATGCTTTTGCTAACACTGCTGGCAACTCAGCTGAACCCTGGCAACATCTGTCTGGGAGCAGAGTGCCGCGGATGTGGTTAGACGCACCACGGCAACTTGTGGGAGTTATTAGTTTGTTTATCTGAAATATGCATTTAGGGGAAAAAAAACAACACCTGAACAACAACACAACAAAATGAATTAACTAGCAGCCTTGTGCCAGGTGTCAGGCCTTGCGTAAGAAAGGCAGGATGAGCAGCACAGGGTGTGCAGAGGCAGCATTTGCCGGTTGGGGTGCCTGGCTCTGTCTCTGGGCTTCACCAGGATCTCATAATCCCACAGCACGAGGTGACTGACTGCACACAGGGGTCCCTGCTCGGGATGCAGCAGTTGCTGATGTGGGGAAACACTTCCAGCATCACCAGCAGCACCTCCTGGTGCCTGGACAAGAGGGGAGCATAACACCACTACTGTAACAACAGCATAATACCTAATTCCTTTGCACTGCAGTGCTGTTTGGTCTTGAGAGCTCCCAGGAGATGATGGGTTTGCTAGTGGTCCAGCATTTTATACAGCACCTCTTCCAAAAGATTCCCAAGCCATTCCAAAACTGGGAATCACTCCACTTCCCACAAGAACGCAGCCAACCCCAGGGGTAGGATGTGGTAACTCTTCAAAAGCAGAAATGCTGGGAACAAGGAAAGAAGGCTCTGCAGCTGAAGTTGTAAAAGGAACATCAGGAACTGACCCAGGTAAGGGTTCCTCCAGGCTCACCAGGTTAACCCCACCAACACCAATGGGCTGCTCAGCCAGGCTGATTTAGGACTTGGGGTTTGCATTTTATGCAAGGAAGAGGGAATTCTGGTCCACCTTCCCTGTGCATCACCCTCCACTGGAAAGACCCAGTGCCACCATGGGCACCCAGGACACGTCCACTGTTTATAACCTGGCAGAATAATACCCTGTTTGTTGGCAAATCCATCGAAAGGGAGTTAGAAGGAAAATCAATAGATGTGTTTTCCTGAGAATTTCTCTTGCACTGAGGTATTGTCAGTACAGTCACCACGAGGTCTGCAAAGAGCCGGGACAGATTTAGTGCTGCCCACTGTTAGTGATGGGCAAACAGTGCTGGGAGGAAGAAGGGAGTCAGCAGTGCCTCTCTGTCACATGCATCCATGTGTGTGAGAAGGACAGGATAGGACAAGAGGGAATGGCTGACAGAGGACAGATTCAGATTAGATGTTAGGAAGAAATTCGTCCCTGTGAGGGTGGTGACTGGCACAAGTTCCCCAGAGAAGCTATGGTTGCCCCTGGAAGTGTCCAAGGCCAGGTTGGACAGGGCTTGGAGCAACCTGGGCTAGTGGAAGGTGTCCCTGCCCATGGTAGGGGGGTGGAATGAGATGAGCTTTAAGGTCCCTTCCATCCCAAACCACTCCCTGATTCCTTTAGGCACAGCATCAGCCCCTGCTGCTGGGACCCCCCAGCAGCCACCCACACCCACATCCCGGGGCTCACACGTGGGCAAGGACGGGCTCCTCAGGGAACCACTACCCAACTTTTGGGACACGCAGCCATCCCAAGGCACGGCATCCCACGTGGGAATGACATCCCCCGGGCGAAGGCAGGGGCTCAGCGCGGCCGGGGGGATGCAGGATGCGAGCGCAGACCCCACAGCGCGCAGCCCGTGGGACCCTCCGCCGAGAGGGGGGACGCGGGGTCCCGGTCACGGCGGGGCAGTCGTGTCCGTGGCGGTCCGTGAGGCCCTGCTGCCCTCTCGTGGCACCGCGGCAGGACCGCGCTAAGATCCCGGGATGCGGCACATCATCCCGGCATCGCTTCCCTGCCGCCCGCACCCCGCGGCCGCTCCGCCGGGACGCCTCGGGATCTCGTTCCTTCCATCCTCATTCCATCCATCCTCGCCTCGGGAAGAGGAGCGTGGCTGTCCGATTGTGCAACGTCCCCGAGTCACAACACTGGATACAACCTCCCGAGCGTGAGGGTTTGTGACCCCTTTTCATCTCCTGCTTATAGAATGTTAAGGGGTTGAAATGGAGATGAAGGATCATCCTGAAGTCCCAACCTCCCTGCCATGGGCAAGGACACCTTCCACTAGCCCAGGTTGCTCCAAGCCTTGTCTAACCTTGAACACTTCCAGGGATGAGGCATCAACAACTTCTCTAGGCAACCCCCCTTTCCCTGATGATGCTGTGCCCACTGCTCACAGCCAATTAACCAAACTCAATTAAACACAGAGCCCTGGGTCCCGAAACCCAGCACCAAGAATTGGCCCGGGAGCCACACCACAATGTTCCCAGGACTCCCCCTGCCCTCGGGATGATCCCAAAGGTACCAGCAGGGAGCATCTGGAGGCAGATCATCTTGGCTCCCCACAGGCTGGATAGCCAGGATCTCACCTCATCTTCAGCTGAGACATTCACACACTTGCAAGTCTGAAGTTTTAAGAAAAAAAAAAAATGCCAGAAGAGCTTTTAGACATCTCTGATAAACCTTTCTGAAAGGCAGTGGTACAGGCATCTCCTATGAGATTGCTTTGTCAAAGGAACTGGCTCTGCTGACCCTGCACTTTCCCCACTGCCTGCAGTGGCTCCCAGGAAGAGCAACCAAAGCCCTGCCCTGCTCATCTGACCTCTGGCAGCCTCTCAGTGCTCACCCCACTGCCTCTGAGACACTACAGTCCCTCAAGGATGGCTCCATGATCCCCCAAATCACCCCCCACAGCAGCTGGTTCCCTCCCAGCTCCAGCATACCCACATGCCCCTTTCCCATGGGATGGCTGAGATCTTCCCAAGCCTGCCTGCTGGATGGCTGGCTACTGGTGTGGGGCAGCCCCTCGAGGTCCCAGCCTGGATGGCCTTCCTATCCTTCACTGTCACGGCACAAGGTCCCCACACCCCAATATGCTGACTAAATTCATTGACTCATCATTATGACCCCTAATCAAATCCAGAGAGTCCTTTGTTCTCTCCCCAGAATGCGCTAAAAGATTATTTCCTATTCCTACTGTTGTTTTTTCCTCACGCTGCTCACTTTCAGGTGTGGGTGGCCTCACAAAGCCTGTCAGAACACCCTGGTTCAATGTTTACATCCTCTTTTATTCACTGGAAAATACATTGGGGGCTGAGAGAACATTTTCCTGGGGAGGCAAGAAGCCAGGAGTGAACCCTGTGTCCCCTCCCCGGGCACAGTGACACCTCCAGGGAACCACTGGTGCTTGAAACAGGAGAACTGAAAAATCTCACTCATTTTCTTCTGCAACCCTGGTCAGGCTTTGCATCTGCTCCACTGCCTCTGAGCGCATCCCCTGCCCACATTTGCTGATCCCTGCTGGTCATCATCGCTGCTGGGATGTAGGTCCCTTCCAAGTGAACTATTCTATTCTAAATAAAGTAGGAAAAACCCCACCAAGAACAGAAGGTGGCAAGGCTTGCTGCATTATGCAAGGTGCTTTCTTCAGAGCTGGCTGGAGCGGGTGAGCAGTGGAAAAGCGCTGCAGGCGGAGAGGCCACACGCAGGGTTTTTGGGAAATGGTTAAACCAAGGATTTGCCTCCTTCTCCAGGCAGTGAATTCCTCTGAGTCTGGGCCTCCACCTGCACATCAGCCCTGGGCTGATCACAGGATAGTGGCCCGGATGCCACTGGGAACAGTGGTGCTGCTGGTGTGTGAAGGACACGGTGCCCCTGCACCTGCCTGGGGTTCTCCCTGCTCCCACAGAGGAAGCCCCAAGCCATGCCATTCCCTGTCCTGCTGTGCAGCCCCACGGGGTCACACTGAAAGGGGTGTCCCTCTGCCATCTGTAAAGCAGGACCACAACAGCTGAGCAAAAACGGAGCTGGAATAGAATCGACATCAGTGTCTACAAAACTTGGAGCGTCCCTTCCAACTCAGCATATTTTAGGATTCTATGAAACACCAGTCAGAGCACAGCCATGATCCAGTGGCCAAAACCTGCATCTGGATACCACTGCCAGCCTGCAACACCTGACAGGCAGAGAGGTCAGAAATAAAGGCTAGGGGGATGAGGAGGAGAAGGAGCAATGAGGCAGGAGGGAAATGGCTAATCCATGATTAATGACTCAGCCCTGTGCAGGTGTAACAGAGCTGCCACCCTTTAGTACCTCCCAGGAAAGAGCAGGAGAGGGGAATGACCAGGCAACACAAGCTCTTTTGGGTCCCTTTAACTGGCTGGTTCCTCACAAACTGGTGCAGAATTGGGGGACTCCATGAAGATGATTAAAATCAGCCAGGCTGCGCCCTGAGCAAGACCATGCACAAGCACTTGCAGCTCCCCTGCATTCACTGTGGATACCCCAGAGCATCACCCTGTCAACTGCTTACAGGTGCTGTTCTGAACCCCAAAAATGTCCTTTGTGCCCTGGAGTCCATGGGCTGCTCCAGCACAAGGTATGGAATGAGAAAAACACACCTTTTCAATAGGTGATGAAGAATGCATCAAACGCTCAGGACGCTGCTGGGGGAAAGGAAGGGGAATGGAAGGGAAAAGGGAAGGGAAAAGGGATGAAAAGGGAAGGGAAAAGGGATGAAAAGGGAAGGGAAAAGGGATGAAAAGGGAAGGGAAGGGAAAAGGGAAAGGGAGGGAAAGAAGAAAGAAAAAAGGAAAGGGAAAAGGAAAAGAGAATGAAAAAGGAATAGGGAAAAGAATACAGAAGGGAAAAGAAAAGAACAAGGGAAGGGGGAAGGGGCTGCTCCCGCAACAGCACTGCCTGACCAGGCAAAGGGCAACGCACAACCCGCGCGTTCCAAACTAGCACACACTAAACAGATAAAAAAACGAAGCCAACACGTTTCCATTCCCCTTCTTTTTAACGTCAACCTTCCTCGACAGCAGGACCCACAGCACAAGCTCCCACCCCGCAATTCCAACCCCCGCCGCCATTCCCGCTCTCCCCCCTCCACCCCGCTCCGGCACTACATCTCCCAGCAGCCCCAGCGGCGGCGGGCGCGGCGCTCACGCGGGCGCGCGGGGCACGCCGGGAGCGGCGCGGCCCGGGCGGCGGCAGGTGAGGGCAGGGGCGCGCGCGCGCCCTGGGGCCGGGGCGCCCCCTGCGGGCGGGGCCGGGCACGGCGGGACCCCCGGGACGGGGAACGGGAACGAGAGGGGAATGGGAACGGGAACGGGACGGCACGAAAGGGATGGGCCCCGCCGGGTGGTGGGCGCTGGGATGGAGGGACGGGGTGAAAGGAGAGCGGGGTCCGCCCCGCCGAGCCCCCCCACCCCTCGGGCTGGCAGCGGAACCCCATTGATCGTCCCGCGGGATCGCCCCGGTGCCCCCACACAGAGCCCGGGCGTGTGCCCCGAGCGCGGCGTGGCCAGGCACCGGCACGGGTTACCCCCGTGGATGCGCCATCCCTGGGAGCGCCCAAACCAGGCTGGGGCGAGGCTTGGAGCCACCCGGTCCGTGGGGAAGGTGTCCCTGCCCACGGCAGGCGGCGGAACGGGGTGACCCTAAAGGTCCCTCCCAACCCCAAAGCCTGCGGTCCTCCCAGCCCAAACCCTTGCGTTGTGTGTGCAGTACCCGCACCCAGGGGCTGTCCCGCGGGGTTTGCTGTTGTTATTGCTGTTTTTTTTATTATTGCTGTTGTTGTGACAGCTCCTGTCAGCAGCGCTACCCCGTTATTTTCACTCGTTCACGGCACCACCCCTGAGCCGGCCGCCTCGCCGCTGAGAACTACCAAACCACGGCAGGAAATTTCTTTTGAATATAAAAGGAAACCAAACCGGCAGAAATTCGCCGAGTTTTTATAGCGTGATCCTCAGATGAGGCTTTCTGTAATGCCTTGCTCTGCGTCAAAGGCCACTGCCTTGGGAGGGACCGATACGCAAGAACAACTTGCTGTTAAGGAAACTTCCATGCGGGCACGGCCGAGTGCGAGAGGGAGATAAAGGGAGAAATAATGTCACGTTACCGAGGGCAGGCTGGCATTCCGACAAAAGGGGGTTATGTATGAAAAGGATATTGTACAGGTCATCTGTCTAAAAAGCCCAGCCTGACTTAAAAATCCCCTCCGCCATTGTTCTGTAATGAAAATACTTGTTTTAAAGGTAGCTTTCAATGTAACTTGCAGCACCTGGTGCCTGTGCTGCTCCCTCGCCCTTCCCTAAGCGAGCCTTTTGACGTGTTTCCAAGGAAAGTAGGAATAATGAGCCTGGTATCCTGTGTTTCATTTTTAAAACCCGTTTTAAAATACAGAATTTTTCATCCCTCAAAGGAAGGTTTCTGTTCTCCGTGGCAGTGCCGAGGCTTCTGCCTCCCCAGCTGTGATATGTGTTAAGACAAAAAGGGAAGCGTGCTCCGTGCCAGGGGCAGGAAGTGCCTGGAGTCCCCCTGCTCCCAGATGCCAGGGATAATCATCCTGCCACCACTGAGGATCAGTTCCCAGCTTGGTGCTTGCAGATTCTGCCACACCACTGAGTCCCTCCCTGAAATATGGGCTTTGAACAGCTGCAGCTGATAATTTTAAATAACTTTTTCCTTCTCTGTATGAACATAAAGAAATGTTGTTTGTTGCAGTTGTTTTCTTGCACGTGAGCAAGTGGTAAACTGAAATACACTGAAGCTTTCCCGAGGAGGAAGGAGGCAAACCCTGCAGGGAAGCAAGAATGCTGTGTGCATTGAGCCATTACTCAGAAAAAGCTGTCTGTTCACATCCCTCTGCCACCCTCTCTTCATTTCAAAGACTAACTACTTCCTTCTCCTCCTCTCCCCTAGAAAAAAGGTTTTCTTCCCTATTTTTTTTTAGTGGCAAGGCAATGCAATAGCAAAGGTATTGAAACCCAGTCTACTGAATAATAACTTAATGATGTGAGCCCTGTTCTGTTCCTTTTGAATGGATGGCTGCTTTGGCAGGAGAGCTGCTGGGATCTGCTCCCTGCTGGGAGGGATGGGAGGGTGGAGAAACCTGGATTGAAGCTGAACAGCAACCAGAGTGGTGTAAAACTGAACTGGGAGACAGGAATGAGGTCAGCGCTGCAAGACTGTGAAATGAGGAGAAATTACATGCAGTTAAAGCTGAGTTCAGGGACTGACAGTGAGCACTGGTAGGATGTTTGGAGTTTGGATGTTTGTAGTTGTCTTTTAACTCCGTTACTGCTCATATCTGCCCAAGGTAAACACAAAGTGTTTAACTGGCACGGTGAAACGTGGTGCAGCACAGCAGAGGTCAGTGAAATGCACTGGCATCAAACCCTCTCTGTGTATTTTCAGTGTGAGCAGTCATCCCCCAGAAGGAGTGGAAGCTGACGAAGCATTGCTGCTAGTTTTCACTTCCTGGCAAATGCATGAAACCTTGAGCATTTATTTTGGCTCTCCAGCAAAGCAGAGCGAACCAACCACGTTTATTTCGTTCGTATCTGATGTCACATCTGAATGCAGGTCTCCAGAGGTGATCTATTAATGTCCTAAAGCATCGCACCATCTGGTTCCTCTTTTGATGCGCAACATTTTGAATGCTTGGTTTAATCTCCCTGGGTTTCAGTAAATTATGTAAACTCGGAGGCTTGGCAGCGGGAGATGGGCACCGTGAGGAGATGATTCAGTCATCAATATCTATTGGGCTTCCTTATTGCTGCCATTACACTTCTTTCAGTTGCTACTTACAAATGTTGCAAGTGAATAATTCATCGCACTGGGAGCCGCAAGTTAGTTTTGAAATTTGCCCACCCCGAGATTAGCTATGACTAATCCATCCTTCCCAGTCGTGGAAAAGCTAACTGGGTTTCTTTTCTGCAGCGTTGGGTGATAAAGTCAGAAATAAATTGCATGTATATGCAACTGCTGGTGCTGACATAAATCACATTTCCTTTTTTTATTCTCCCTGGACAGAATTGGAGCACCTTGGAATAGATGTGAGCACAAGACGCGGCGCTGGCTGGAGCTGCCCGGGAACAACCATGGCTGCCGCCCCTCACCTCAACTCGGACGCGCTCCGAGAGGTCCTGGAGTGCCCCATTTGCATGGAGTCCTTCACTGAGGAGCACCTGAGGCCCAAGCTCCTGCACTGCGGGCACACCATCTGCAAGCAGTGTCTGGAGAAGCTCCTGGCAAACAGCATTAATGGGATACGGTGCCCGTTCTGCAGCAAGATCACGCGGATCACGAGCCTGGCTCAGCTGACGGACAACCTCACTGTGCTCAAGATCATCGACACCGCTGGACTGGGGGAGGTGGTGGGCCTCCTCATGTGCAAGGTCTGCGGGAGGAGGTTGCCGAGGCACTTTTGCAAGAGCTGCAGCTTGGTTTTATGCGAGCCCTGCAAGGAGGCTTCGCACCTGCCCCAAGGGCACAGAGTCACTGCTATCAAAGAGGCTGCTGAAGAGCGCAGGAGGGAATTTGGGACGAGGCTTGCCAGGCTAAGGGAGCTCATGGGTGATCTTCAGAAGAGAAAAGCTGCTCTGGAGGGTGTTTCCAGAGACCTGCAATCCAGGTACAAAGCGGTGCTGCAGGAGTACAGCAAAGAGGAGCGCAAGATCCAGGAGGAACTGGCCAGGTCACGCAAGTTCTTCACCACCTCTTTGTCTGAAGTGGAGAAGGTAAATAACCAGGTAATGGAGGAGCAAGCCTACCTGCTGAACTTAGCAGAAGTGCAGATAATGTCCCGCTGTGACTACTTCCTTGCCAAAATAAAGCAGGGGGATATAGCTCTCCTGGAGGAGGCGGCAGACGAGGAGGAACCAGAGCTGACAAACAGTCTCCCAAGGGAGCTGACTCTGCAAGAGGTGGAACTCCTGAAGGTGAGCCACGTGGGACCACTGCAGATCGGGCAGGTGGTGAAGAAGCCTCGATCCGTTAATGTGGAGGAATCGCTCCTGGAAACTGCAGCATCCTCGTCGGCGTCATTTAGGGAGCCTGACCCGGTGCAGGAAGAGCCCAGCTGCACACCCCATTCCTCACCAGCCAAGCCAAGGATTCCTGAAGCAGCCACGAGCATCCAGCAGTGTTACTTCATCAAGAAGATGGGCTCCAAGGGCAGCCTGCCAGGCATGTTCAACCTCCCCGTCAGCCTGCACGTCACCACGCAAGGCGAGGTGCTCGTGGCAGACCGGGGCAACTTCCGAATCCAGGTTTTTACCCGCAAGGGCTTCCTGAAGGAGATCCGCCGGAGCCCCAGCGGGATCGACAGCTTCGTGCTGAGTTTCCTCGGGGCAGACTTGCCCAATTTGACTCCCCTCTCTGTCACCATGAACTGCCATGGCCTGATCGGGGTGACAGACAGCTATGATAACTCCGTCAAGGTGTACACCATGGACGGGCACTGCGTGGCCTGCCACCGGAGCCAGCTGAGCAAGCCCTGGGGCATCGCCGCGCTGCCCTCGGGGCAGTTCGTGGTGACCGACGTGGAAGGGGGGAAGCTCTGGTGCTTCACGGTGGACCGTGGCGTGGGGGTGGTGAAGTACAGCTGCCTGTGTAGCGCGGTGCGCCCCAAGTTCGTCACCTGCGACGCCGAAGGGACCATTTACTTCACTCAGGGGCTGGGGCTCAACCTGGAGAACCGGCAGTACGAGCACCATCTGGAAGGAGGCTTTTCCATCGGCTCCGTCGGCCCCGACGGGCAGCTGGGGCGGCAGATCAGCCACTTCTTCTCAGAGAACGAGGACTTCAGGTGCATTGCTGGGATGTGTGTCGATGCCAGGGGAGACCTCATTGTTGCTGACAGCAGCCGTAAAGAAATCCTGCATTTCCCTAAGGGAGGCGGCTACAACATCCTGATCCGGGAAGGGCTCACCTGCCCGGTCGGTATTGCCATTACTCCCAAAGGGCAGCTCCTGGTGCTGGACTGTTGGGATCATTGCATTAAGATCTACAGTTACCACCTGAGAAGATATTCCACCCCTTAAAGGCATGGCTGTAAGCAAAGCCTCTCCTGGCAGCAGACATTCTTCCAGCCTCCCTGCAATCCGACGGGAACAAGTGTCAAGCCTTCAGGAAGACTGTGCCATAACCGAAGGGGATCTGGCATAGAGGCCATCATGTTTTGTGTTTAGAAACAAAGTAGCTTTTGTGGTGGTGGTGGTGGTGGTCTGCTTTTTCTTCTTCTTTTGTTTTAATATAAAATCCATACAAATAAGGACAAGCGTGAGGGAAGGGATCCATCCTTTGGGAGCATTGGTTCCTTGCTAAGTGACTGGTCACTCCATACACCTTCTCACCTCCTTACGCCACATCTCCTCTCCCAGCTTTTAACCATTGTGTCTTTCTTTGTGCCATAAAAGATGAGTGACTGCTCTAAATCACCTTTCCTTACAGAACTAGCGAGGCAATCCTCCTCTCTCTGTGGTTCTCGCAAGGAACTAGGTAGCAGTTGTCTGGGCAACTCCTGGAGAGAGCAATTTGGGATTGCATAAAATGAAATAGCCCTCGTCAGCCACACGGAGATGGAGCTTTACTCCCACCCTGACAAGGGACAGTTGTCTCTCTCCCGTTTTTCTGGTGTTCAGGAGATCACCCCGTCGTGCCGTTTGTGAGCTGAGTCTGTTCCGTGTGAAGTGAGTACTGTGCAATCGTGGGAGACCAAGCTGAGCCAGAAAACTGCCCCCTTTATTACTGAGTAGTAAGAAAACAGGGGTTTTATCACTACTCAGAGTCCTGCTAGGTAGAAGGGGGTAAAAAGGGAGGGGGTTGAAGGAAAAAAAACCTGAGGGGAAACCTAGGGTTGCTATTTACTGCTGTTTTATTATTAAATGTATCCTGGAAACTGTCTTTGGAAGGTGTACCTGGTATCTGAAATTTCATGGGGAGGGGGGAAGGGCTGGGGGAATGAGACTGGGAGATTGTATAAAATGAGATTAACTGCAACACGTTGTATGTTCACCTGCACTTCACTACTCTGCATTCCAGACCATTGCATTTAGCAAGAGGTTTCCACTCATCTGCACCTCCTGTGTGCAAGTTACTCACTGCTGAGATAGGGATGGGGAGGGGGGGACTATTTCACTTTTAATTTTTTCATACTTGGAAGCACATCCATTGATGCACTGCCTTCTTTTTTCCCTTGCACAGCAAAACATTACATTCCTCAGATTTTGTTTTTGATTTTTTTTTTTTTTTCTTTTACGGCACCAGCAGGCACCAGAGTTGCTGTTCATCACGGCTTTGGGCCAAATGAAGCACAAAACTGCAGCTGTGTGAACCAAGGCCCCCACAGTGCTACTCTCCTGGCTGATAAATGCGTACCTCAGTGTGGTGCTGCTCGCCCAGAATAGTTTATTGAAGGAAAGATGCATTTAAATAGGGCACAGTGGTAGCATGTTAATCTGCCACAGATAATAGTTACACTGCAGTGCATTTATTTGTTGCTATCAACAATGTAGTTGCAAATTTGGGGGCACGGCAGACAATATAAAAGCTGATTTTATGGTGGCTGCCGTGCTCCAGCAAATTGTTTGCTGCTTGTCCTACAACGTTTGCAACAGGTGATTTTTTTTTTTTTTTTTAAGCTCCCATATAGTCTCCCCTAAGGAAACAGCAAAGCGAAACAGGCTTCTGAGCTGCTGCTGCTCCAGATGGGTGTTTGGCAGTTACAGGCTTTGCAGAAGAAGCGCTGGGAGCAGATTTTGGTGGGATTTTCGGGTTTTATTCCTCTTCCTGTTGTGCTCAGCCAGAGTGCTGAAGGGGCCAGCGCACAAACACAGCTGTGTGATGGAGCTGCCCCTCCAATCAGGGCAACCTCTGATTTCTCTTGCTATAATGCACTGGAAAAAGCTTGTGGAGAAGGGAGCTGAGACAGGAGGTGGTAGATGGTGCTGAGGGAGCCCAAGGGACTGAACCCCCCTTCCCTCCTGAGCTGCTCCGTGTGTTTGCCAAGGCTGCCAACTTGCATATCACTATTTTACACTCTCTGCCTCTCTTTTTTGGGTGGGAGCCCTTCTCACCCTGCATGTGTGTTTTCGGGAGATGAGGATGATTACTGGGCTGTGTTGCAGTTAATGACATTGTAACTGAAGGCGTTTTCCCAGCATCATGGCAATGGCAGTTCCTCTCCTTCTGATGTGTTTTAAACATTTCTCCTGCTCCCAAGAACTGCTCCAAGCAGGAAGCTACTGTGGACCTGAATAACTGAAGCAATATTATCTATGATAATATGTACCTCTGTCATTTTCTGTTCCCATGGATATTTTTTTTTGCAATAAACAGCACACTGTACTAGCAATAACATTTCCTGGAGTGCTTGAAGGGACATAAAAACTGGTCCAGCAAACTGAGCAGTTGGTTACCCCAGCCTGTTCCTGGTTACACAGTTCAAACAAAGCGTCTGTCATCTGTTTCTCACTCAAAGAATCAAGGAAAATAACACTACCCTGCGATTCACTGGTGGGCCAGGACACTGCAATCGGCGCCTGGGGCTGTGTCTCGCCTGCAGCTCTTCTAATCTGGGCTTTCAGGCAGAGAAGGGGAAAAAAGAAAACCTGCTGTCCCTGCCCAGGGTCTGCATGTCCCCTGACAAAACTCGACAGTGACTGTGAGATGATTTTACAGAGCTCTGTTTTTTGCTGTGGTGCCCCCACACAGTGTTGTGATCGTCTGCCAAACAAGGAGTAATTAAGGATTGTGTTGAAATAGTTGGCTCCTGTACCTGTACCTGGAGAAAGAGCTTGTCTGGTCGTACGTATGTGTTTGGTTTTTAAAGATTGTGTAATAAACGAAAAATCGATCCAATTAAAAGTGCATTGCAAATGGCTCATTTTCTTATTAAAACACTGCATCTCCTCCCCTTGGTGGCAGATTGGATTTTACAGCCAGTGGGGATTAGATTGGGAACACAAGGGCTACAGGACCCCTTTTCTCAGGTTGCACAGGATAAATCTCATCTCCTTGGCAGGAGAAGTTGGTGGGGAAGTGTCAGGTAGAGTTCCCTGATCTCCTTGGCAGGAGATCAGGGAACTCTACCTGACACTTCCCTACCCACTTCATAAACAAATGCTCAGGTTTTGTACCTTAACTCACTCTGATACTCCCCCAGGGGCAATATCCCCCCAGGTTCTCCCCTGGTCCTGCCACCCTTCTGGGTTTGCTGCTCTTGGGTGAAGGATTTTAGCCTTTGGGCTCATCCCAGCTGATGGGAAGCAGCACTTTAAAAACAGGTGTGAATTGCTGGTTTATCAAACATTCAATCCTTGCAGAACAGCTGTGTGTGGTGCTGTTGGACCCACCCTGCCACTTTATCACAAGTTTTGATTTCTTATGGTAGAAAAACAAAGCCATAGGCATTTTGGGGGGCAAAACCAGGAGTTAGGGTTCCTAAAGGGATGAGGGGGAGAGCCTGTTCCTTAATCAGAGGGGGGCAGAGCTACAGAAGTAAAAATAAAGGCAGATGCTTTGAGTGGTTTGTATTGTATAGCTTAAGTGATTTTTCTGGGTCATTACTCAGTGCGAGGATTTAAAGTTATTTCATTTTGCACAACTAATTACTCGACTTGCCTGACAATTCTGGATTACAATGAGCAGTGCATAAGGTCATTTAGCAGACTGAGTCACAGCACATATTGTAGTCTAAACTAAATTTCATGGCAACCCGTTAAGATTGTTTTTACCTCCTCTGAACAAAACGTCAGAATCTGAGGGTTGGAAATAAATATAATGACATAAAGGAAGCAAGTAAGAGTGTTACAAAGGTAATAGAGTGGTTGTTTATAGGGACAGATCTCAAGAACAGGGAAATTCTATATGCTTTACTTCTCACCAAGCAGGTATAAGGGAAACCCATTATCTCCTTTAACAGATGCAAAACTCTCCTTACAGCTTTCTTAATGCACCTAATTGTGTCTAGGAAAGGAAAACTAAAGGTTCCCGTGGACTAGTTCAATCTTAATTGTGTTAATGGCACTGTTAGACCTGAAGAGAGATGAATGGAGCATTGAAAGGACAGGAGGGACCCACAGACCCTACTCAGAGGAATATGGGCTACTATTTTAGCAGAGTTCCAGGCTCTATCCCTAATTTTATGAGGATATTTATGCCAATAAATACAATTTCTGAACATCTTTTGTCAAAGAGTTCACAAAAAAACCCATGAAAACTGTTGCCTTTTAAATGTAGATGCAGCTAATGATGTGAGGTCCAAGAGAAGAGAAGCAAGTACCTGGGAGGGCAGGGGGCAGAAAGCCTTAGGGATTGTGACAGGACCTGCCAGATCACAGCCCCTCCATGGACTCTTTCCATAAATGATCTGTTACAAAGAGGTAACATCTTTCACATCTGTAGCAGCCACAGGCTCAGCTTGCTGAGTGCCCAACGTGGCCAGGGAACCTTAGCCAAGGAAACTCTAGATAGGGATCACAGGAAATGCAAGAAAAACAAACATTTCTTGTGCTGCAGACCTAAAGCAAGGTATCAGCTGGGCAGTGAAAGCCTCTGGATCTGCTCCATCCGTGCACAGCACATCCCCAACTCATCAGCATCCCTCCCCATGTCCCAGATGGGCTTCTCCACTGGGAACAAGCAAGCCAGAACAGCTCTTGGGGAAATCTCACTGGCACTGCCAGATTTTGCAATCAGAGCAGCTCTTCCCTTCCCTAACCACCTCCTTATCCAGCCTGACTGAGGGGCCACAGAGTAACCAGGTCTCTGATAAACTTATATCAGTGAATGAAGTGGTTCCTAGCAGGTGGATTTACTGGATGGAGGGATCATTCTCTTTCCTCCTGTACATTTTCTGAGTCTCTGTGGTGGGGTGACTCCCAGCCTCCACCTCCAGTTTTACTACTGAGCATGTCGGTGTGGAATAGCCCAATTTTGGCCAGCAGCCCTGGCTGTGTCCCCTCCTAACACCTTGCCCATCCCAGCCTAGTGACCGTGGGGACAGAATGGGAAAGGAGGAAGCTTGGATGCCATGCAGGCACTGCTCAGCAGCAGCCAACACGCCGGGGGGATTATCCACAGTGGTTTATCCAGAAATCAAAAGCACAGCACCACGGGGGCCGTGACAAAGCAAGTTCCCTCCATCCCACCAGGCCTGGCACATTCTTGCACACAGCAGGACGTGGCTGAGGGCACCACGTGCGTCCCAGCTGCCAAACGAAGATGCTCACACAACTGGTACGAACTTAATGAGGTGCCATCAGCGTTAAATGCTGCCTTCGATGGGGGAGAAAACCGATGTGGGCTCCCGTGGCACAGATCAATGGCTGGGTCGATCGCGAGGTCCTCGCTCGGAGGCCGCTCGGTGAGTGAAAGCACTGCTTGGCTGCACAGAGCCAGAGCAAGCAGCCCAAAAAAAATGGGCTTTTAATCACTCTGCGTGAAATAAAATTGGAGTTTGCTTCGGTCTGCTCACGGACTAAGGCTGTTCCCGGGAGGGAGCCTGGGGGATGCTCCCATGCCTGCCCTGGCAGAACGCAGGGCTCGGTGTGCGCAGCATTGACACCGAGCCTGCCTGGCTCTCTCATTTGCAGGATTCACTCCTGCAAATCCTTAGGGACAAGGTGTGCTGGTTTTGGCCGGTGTTAAGAGTTACTTCTCTTTGCAGTGGCCAGTACGGGGCTACGTTTTGGACTTCTGAGCTCAAACCATGACACGAGGGCGGTCACCTCATTCCACCCAGCACACGCCTTATCCACCTGCAGGAAGAAGGGGAACATTTTGCGCTCCTCTGGGCAGAGCAGCCTGCTCATGCCAGTGGTGACGGAAGCACTGACTTTGTGCTGTCCCTGGCCATTGCTGGATCCCTTTCCTCTTCACTTGGCTGAGGGAAATGCTCTGCAGGCACCAATCCACATCAAGTGCTCCTGTGCCGGCGGCCAGTGTGGCGTTTGGGCGGCTCCAGCCTCGGCACAGAGCCAATGCCTGATCCCAGCTGCCAGTGGCGTGGTTTTCTCTTCAAAACCATGTTTTCAATTAGGGTTTCATGCGCAGATTGTGCATTTATTGGCGGAGGCCTCCTCCTGAGGCCCGGAGATTGATTTATGAAGTTGATTAAAATATTAAAATAATTTTGTGCCATGCTGCAAACACCATGCGATGTGCATTTTTCTCATAGTTGGTGTCATTCCAATTAGCTTGAGACTCTCCTCTCCCCCTCCTCTTGTGACCTGCTTTGTTCACTAACTAATTACAGTTATCCTGGTCCTACTTTTGTATTTATTAGAGATGATGCATATGTGTGGTCGCTGAGCAGTTTGGAATGGGCTGGTGAGCAGTGGGGAACCCGGCAGGCCGGAGCTGTTCTGAGTGGAGAAGGCATCCAGAACTGTCTAGTTGGAGCTATTTATTCTGATCTGCCTTATGTCACTGGCAAAATGAGGGTGAATCAGTGGAAAAGAAGGGAATAAAATCTATCTACCATGAACAGCAAGCTCTTTCTCTTGGCTAACTAGGATTTCTTTGTGAGAGAACCCTGGGTTTTCTGGGATGCCTCCTGTGTCCACAAGCTGATCTCCCCTGGTATCATCAAGAGGCTTGAACATCCTCAATGTCCTTCCAAGAGTATTTTGTGGCCATCAAAGAGCTAAGTATAGCACTGGTCTCCTCTGCACTGCCCACAGCACCAAAGTTCACCCCACCAGCTACCAAAGCCACAGGTGGAGTCACACACAAAGCACAAAGTCGGAGCCAGCACCCAGTGCCCAAATGCTGCACAGTCAGAAGTTAAAAGTTTATGTCCAGGCATTACATGCAAAGCCCCGGGGGATCCCTGGGGTCCCGTGACTGCTTTGATGCTTCACAGGCAGTGGGAAGGACGCTCTGGATCCTGTCCAGGGGCAGCCCTGCGAGCAGCACAGGGCAGGCACAGCTCCGGGAGTGTGGGCAGGAGCAGGGTGTGGAGTGAGGAGCTGCCTTGGCCAGCTGCATACCATGGACTAAAATGGAAATTATCCTGTCAGCGAGGCACTGCAGGCCCTGTGCCACCACGGGGCTTTGTGGCTGAGCCCTGGGAGCCACTGCTGCCCCCAGCCAAGGGGAAGGTGGGAGCTCGGGAATGGGAGATACTTCACTGCCGGATCAAGCACTGCGGCTGTTCACATCCCCTCTGGCCCAGATCATGAAAACAGCAACAATGCTCATGCCCAGCTCCCACTGCAGTGGCTGCCTCTCATTCCCACCCGGCATCACTTGAGAAACCTGTGTGTGAAGTGATCTCATTGAGACCACAGGGCACTCCAGGTCTGCTCCCCACCACCCGTGCTGGCCCCAGGATTGCAGGGAGCGCTCCCGAATGATTAATAACGCCGAGAGTCCGTAAACAACCCACCTCCACGGCGCTTTCTCCTGCTAAACGGGGGCATTGCTATGGCAAACTTCATTTATCACTATTTAAAACCCAAACAAACGAGAGCAGGGTGTTATAAATACGCTTACAAGACGAGCCGCGCCGGGGAAACAGGGAAAAAAAAAAAAACAAGCCGGGAGCAACGGAGGAGGCGTGTGGGAGCACATCCTCATTTGCTGGCTTCCATGGAGCGAGGCTGCTCATGGCAGCACCTGCAGGACAGGATTCAAGTGCCTTGATGACCTCTGTCACCATCAGCCCTACAATAGGCCATGTAATACACCACAGATGTTTTTTGAACAGAAAAATATCAGACCCAGGGAATTTCCCCAACTCCCTGGAGGAGAGAGATGAATTGGCAAATGGAAGGCTACAGCGATAAGGGAGTTTTTATAAACATAACCTAATTGTATTACTTCAAAGTCCTGAAGTTTATTGCCCTGTTTAATGATGTGTCTCGTTATTTATGGTGTAGCACAATGAGTCTGCTATTGATTTAATGCACTTCCTTAAAGACTGTCATTGTCACAAGCAATAAAACAAAGCCATTCTGAGACAGCTCAATTATGTCACATCTCCATCAGCCAACCCCGAGCACCCCCAGCGTGTGGGGGCCACCATGGGGAATGGGTCACCCTGGGGAAGGATGCAGCCAGAGTGTGGAAGCTGAAGGGCAGGAGCTGGCAGTGTGGGTTTGCCTGGCTCAGGGATGCTGCCAAGGGACATGTGCCACCGTCTCTTGACACTGGGCACTCAGTTTGGGACAAGTCTCCTGCTTGAGCCCACTAACCAGCATGGTGAAGGTCAATGCATGGGGAGAGGGGGTGATTTGTGCCCCTGCCCGTTCCCGCCGCCCTCCTCACCTTTCTGGTACTGGAGCCAGAGCTGCTGCTGGACCTTCTTGCTGGGGAAGTGGATGGTGCAGCTGAACTCGGAGCCGTACAGCGCCTCTGCGATGTAGTGGGAGCCAAACTGCTGGATGAAGGAGAGCAGCTCCTCCCGGCTGCTGTCCTTGTTCAGGATCTTCAGGATGTTTGCAAAGCCTGTGGGAGGGAGGAAGGGGATGTGTGTGGGTTGGCCAGGCAGGGCTGGCAGCCACAATCCACAGGAGACAGCCCCACAGGATCCCTGCTCAGGTCATACAAGTCCCTGTGTGGGTGCAAAGTGCAGTTCTTCCTCTCTTACCTCCATCATCTACCTGATCCTTTGGAATCCACCACCTGTTATAACCCCGGCCTGTGGCTCTGAGTTCCTTCTATGATTCCTCCCTCTAAGAAATTTCTCAAAGCATTTTACAGGGATGTGCACGTGGACACGCGTGTGCACACACACCCACACCCACCCCCTCCTGCCACCTCCAGTCTGGTGGCACATCATCAACGCTCTCCCCAGAGGATGTGCTTGGCCTTTCCTTGGCTGTATCCATAACCAGAGGTGTTCCATCTCTAGTGCACACACCCTGCACGACTGGTATCTGTTTTTGGGAGAGCTGGAGACAGCCCAGAGGGACACACGGGGCTGGGCTGATGGCAGCTCCATGGGTGTGCAAAAGTTGGGGCATCACTTGAGCAACATCCACGGAGACAGTGGGGACCTTTGGCATGGGATAAGGACATGGACCCGCACTGCTCCATGGAGGTGAAATATCCTGGAAGCGCTGGTGACTCCACAGCACCTCGGCATCATTTAGAATTGCTGATATCATCGTTTTGGTTCAGTGGTGGGATGGAAAACACACTGCAAGAAAATACGTCATAACTGTCACCAAAATGAGATTATCTGGCTGGTTGGTTGCTTGGTTTATTGAAAGGGAAGGCTGGTTTAATAAAAAAAGCCAGAGGAATTCATTTTGAGCTGAACCCAAGTATTTTTTTCAGCTCTGAGCAGGTTATTTCATTTTGGGGCTGTGCAGCCTGTTAGCACTAAAATCTTTTTTTTTTCTTTCTCTCTCCATTTAACAACTCGTTCATTTTTAAATAAAAAAATGCTATTTTGAAATGAAAAGGCAAAACATTTCAGGTCGCAACAAAATGTTTCAGCATTTCTGAAACAAAATGTGTAGCTATAAAAATGTGGAAGTGAAATGTTTTGACATTTGCAGGATCCTCCCACCCACCCCTTCTTCATCTGTGACTCCCAGCTTTATATGACCCGCTTTTACAAGTGCTTTGGGTCCTTTAAATACCACATTTTTTCAAGTACTTACTGATTTTCATACATACACGTACACACAGCCACCCCCCACGAATCCTCCCCGCGGCGTTTCTTATTGGATTCATCCTGACTTTGACCTCAGCTCTTGGCTGAGCCGCACAAAGTCCCTGCCTCAGTTTCCACCCTGTAAAAAGGAGGAAAATCCCTCTGCCTGCCTCTGCAGCAGCGCTGGGAGCAGACCCCGGAGGTGGGAAATGTCAGTGGGATGCTTGGGGCAGAAGGACACTGCCCACCCACCCAGACACACGTCTCCCTGCCCCTGGAATCCCTCACCTGCAGAGAGGGTGATGGAGCTGAGCTTCACTCTGTAGAGGTTGCTCCTGACCCGCCAGTGCTGCACCATGGGGTAGCCCATTGCCTCGTCGTACTTGATGTCCCCTGCAAAGGAAGAACCGCTGCTGACCACGCTCTGGGGAATGCTCCCACCAGGCAACTGCTTTGTGAGGGGTGGGAAAGGGGATGGCTGGAGGGACAGAAACCTCCCTGGCGGTGATGCCACGGGGTCATGGGGCTGCTGGCAGGACCAGCGCTGCGGTTGCTGGGAGCTCATGGGGATGGAGATGCTGCCACCTGTGTCAGGGTGGACTCACACAGCCCTTAGACTGTTTCTGCCCCAGGCACCCAGGAGGGATGGCACAAAGGACCCTGAGATGCCACTGGTGCTGATTCCTCTCAGGAACCACGCTGGGATCCAGGGTGGGAAGAGGGGTTCTTAATTCTGCACTTGCCCCAGGGGCACTGAGCTCATACCAGTGAGAAGCTGGAGGTCGGGAAGGGGCTCCGAGAGGACACCACGGCACTGCTCCTCCACGGGCAGTGGGATCACCAGGAGCCCGTCAGCCAGCTGTGGGAAGTCCTTGATGAAGTTATTCTCCCTGCAGAGAGAAAAAGACAACTGCAAAGCAACGATGCAGGGCACGGCCGGGCAGAGGGGCTGAGCTGCCCCGGTGGCACTTGGGACAGGCAGCTCAGGAGGGCGAGGGACATCTCCTTGAGCAGGAGCCCTACCAGGGGATAGGGTTTGCAGCCCCCACTTCAACCCATCCCTGACTGTGCAGCCCTCTGAGGTGATGCTTAATGAGCTCCCCAGGGACCACAGCTCCATTAGCACTCCAGAAGCATGGAACTTCTCTCAGCCTGGGGACCCGGCTACTATTTTGGCCCAGATTTTCCAAGTGGGCCACTGGAGAGGGGATGGAGAGCGGTGAGGAGAGAGGAACAGCTGCCACACCTCAAAACTGCCCCTTTCCACACCTGCAGCATCTTGATAAGGACAGTCACCAGGCACCAGACCAAGCCCTGCTGGGGCTCCACACAGCAGGCAGCACCATCACCCCACAGCTTCACCCCCTGGACGACTCTCTCTCCAAAAGGAGCAAAAAGTACATTTAGAGACAGGCACCAAAAAAACCCCTCTCTCGTGTACAGCTCACAGTGCAATTTTACTACACATGCAGGATCTTTTCTAACCTTGGCAGGTATAACATTGTATAATAGGCCCCTAATGAATTGTTTCTAGAACAACGGTACCGGGGATATTATTTGAAATGGTGAACAGACAGGTCTCTGGGAGACGAGCCTCCCCCGGCAACCGAAAATGCCTCGCGCCTGCGCAAAGGAAACGGGAGGGGGGATTTTAAATATTGATCTTAGAGCCAAAATATAGGCCAGGAGGCTCCCCGTCCTCCGGGTACGGAGACAAAAGGGCAGCGGAGCAGAAGAAAGGGAGGTTCCTGCAAAATCAGGTCAGCCCCAGGAGCCGGGGGGAGGTTCAGGCTGGCAACGCCTGCTCCAGCTGTGTTTTTTGGAATAGACTTTCTGTTAAACAGCAGCTGGTCTTACTCATCTTTCCCTGGTTTTACACCCCCAACAGCCCATTCCTGGGGGGATGCTCCACCATCCCACGGTCATCTCGCAGGTGGGGACACCCCAGCTATTTCCATGAGTCCAACTGTGGTGAGATGCTGAATTTGTAGAACACTTCCCCAGGGTCCTCCCACTGCTCTGGGGCCAGGATATGGCCAGTGCAACCTGCACCAGAGGTGAGCAAGAGGCCATAGCACTGTGCAACCAGCCTGGGGATCTTCCCAGCCCAAAGGCTGGTGAGAAGCACAGGGATGAGCAGCTGCAGATGGGAACACATGAGTGGGGTCCAGGAAGTGTTCAAGGCCAGACCGGACGGGTCTTTGAACAAGCTATTCTAGTGGAAGGTGTCCCTGCCCATGGCAGGGGGCTGGAACAAGCAAGGTCCCTTTTCTAACCCAAACCATTCCAGGATTCCCTGGCTGCACAGTTAGCAGCTGCCTCCTGCTATACCCCCACCTCAGAGCTGCCAGCACCTGATTGTGTCTCAGGAGCTTCATTTTAGTCACTGCCAGAGAGAAAGTGCTTTCTCTGTCTGAGGGGAAAAGCCTCTTGCTCGCACCGTGCTCACAAATCTCCTGTTGATCCTGCTGGGTGTGGGATCCCCGTGGTGGAGCGTTCTGCTCCTCTGAGCCCTGCAAACGGGGAACTGCAATTACTGCCGGAGTCAGGAGCCGTGTGGGTGGTGGGAATCGGGGCTGCAAAATTAGGCATGTTGGGAGGGAACAGGGGAAGGAGCGTGTTGGAGTCCCTGCTGCTCTGCCTCAGCAGAGCAGGGAAAACATCAGCGCTGCCAAATCCCAAAGCCATGGAGAAGCGTGATGCTGCCCTGGGAAAGTGGGATGCAGCTGCACTGAGCCCACCTGCCATCCTGGAGCATGGGGATTGTCCCCTCCCCGATGGCTCAGCCCCATACCCTGCACCAGGGGTTAGCACAGAGGCCAGGAGGGTCACTGCCTGCCCAGCCCCACATCCCATCTCCAAGAGGACCAGGAGGGGATGCCCAAAAGGACAATGCCACTGGCTGGTGGCACCTTCCCAAGTGCTCTCTCACATGAAGAGACAAAGCTGGCATGCCAGAAGAGCTGAGTCCCAGGGGACAGAGACACATGGCATGACAAACACCACAAGCCTGTGTTCACCCATTGCCCTGCACCCCAGCATGGAGCAGAGAAGATGCAAAGAAGCAGCATCTCCTCTTCCCCCCGTCAACCCACCTGGAGCATCTCACCAACACCTGTCCATGCCATGAGCCCATAAAACAGCTGTCCCTGGGCATGAGTGGGCTCAAGGGGACCCATGCACTGCAGCTGCTGCCTCTGTGAGGAGGTATTAACCCAACAGCTGCACTCTGCAGGCAGGGCTGCTCCTGCAATCCATTTGTTTAACTGCTCTGCACTTGAAAGGTCAAGGAAAAACAAGGGGCAAGCGGCAGCCAAGGTGTGGGCACACACCCAACCTGTGCCCACAGCATGTTCCCATGAAAGGAAGGAGCAGAACTTCAGGAGCACTTCCATGACGCATTTTTGCTACCAGACCCTTCCTGCATCTCTTTCCCCTCTCCCCACCTCCAGACCCCCACTCCCTGCCATCCCAAGGAAGGGATGAGCCAAAGCCAAGCAGGGGGAGCACTCGCTGGATGCAGAGTGCAGGTATGACACAGCCCCTCTGCAGAGCCTCTGCTGCCTCTGGGGGTGCAGGTGATGGGGACACACCAGGCAGGGGAGACACTGCTGCCAGAGTTGCCCAAGGCATGGCATTCCATGGATCTGCAGCCGGCAGAGGGCTGCAGCTCCTCTTCCACAGGGCCTTAATAATAAACCTGTGGCTCGCGCGCTGCCCGCTGTGGAGGCACAAAACGAGAGTTCCTGCCAGGCTTTTGTGCTCTCTGGAAGCTCTGATCAAAGCTCTGTGGGAGGGGCAGGGACACAGACAAGGGGAGGGATGTGACAGCATCCCTGTGCACGTGCCTCTGTCTGCTCCCTGCCCAGCCACCTCCGCACAGGAGCAGGACCAGGTGTGGGATTCACACCTGGGGCTCGGGGCTGTTTCCAAGAGGCACTGCAATGCCTTCATGACCTGGCAATTCCTACCAGTCATGGAACTAGGTTTATTCCAATGGGATCAGGAGGCAGCCAGGCAAACCTGCTAGGACCACAACATCCTCATCCTTTGTTCTGCTCTCCCAGCATCTCCCCAACACTCAGGGAGCAGCTGCCAGATATTCAGTGGAGCAGCGAGCACGTCGCTCTCTCCAGAATCCACCCAAGGGCACAGTGCTCTCCTGGTGGGGATCTGAGCATCTCCTGGGGCATTTTGCAGATACTGAGTCATTATACAAGGAAATGCAGTTTCTCCTTCTCAGCCCTGGTCCCCAACAGCATTCAACCCAGAGTATGTGCCTGCTTAGAGAAAACTGACTTCCATATAAATGAGTCTGGTGCTGGGAAAGGTCAAGTAGCCAAAGGCTTTAGTGAGCTCTGGTACCAGCAGGGTGGGCTCAGGAGGAAGACTGTTGTTTGGATTAAACTGAGCTCAAAATCCTGGCCTTGATGGACACTTGGTTTAACCTTGAAGTCATAAAACAGGCTTGTTACCTCTGGTGACACAGATAACTGACAGCAGTTCCCCTGTCTCAGGGTGCTGGTGAGGTAACAGCTGCTCAGGTACCAGAAGGAGGGCTCAGGCAGTGAGAACCCACTGTACAGCTGTTCTCCTGTCCTTCTGACACCAGATACAGAAACTAGCCATGTTTTTGGGGCCTCTGACCTTAAAAACCACCCCCAAGGTCACGTGGCACAGCCGTGGCTCGGTGCAGTTCAGGGCTGCATTGCTGCTCTCCGCAGCACTGGCAGCATCTCCCACAGCCCCTGGGAAGCCTCCAAAAAGGACCAGTGTCCCACAGCACCCCTGAGCAAAATCGGCTTTTGGGGGAGCCGGAGAGCCTGATGCAGACATTGGGGAGTAGGTGGAGTCCCGTGGTCTTCCTGGATGGGGCCACGGCTGGCAGATCCTGGTCCATGGCACAGTGATCCTGACCCTGGGGCACTGCATCTCCTTGCTGAGATGCTGAAATCCAGGGCCAAGCTTGCAGTGGGATTCTGGCCTGCAGCAGGGAAAGATCAGCTGGTAGCTGATCATTCATTTAATTTTCCTGTTAGCAGCATGTCTGGGTGAAGGAGCAGCTTCTCCTCCTTGGCTCTGTCAGCTGTGGCTTCCTCCCTTCGCACTCTGCTCCCAAAGGACACGGCCTTGAGGACGGACTCTGCCCACCAACATATTTGGAGACCCTTCTTGCACCTGTACAACTCCCACTGCAAGCCCAAGCACTAGCTGCCACGGGGCTTCCTGCCACCACCCACCACCCACAGCAGGTAAACAATCTGCATTGCAGGAACCGGGCAAGTATATTCATGAGGGGGTAAATATATATATATAAAATGACCCCACAAGCGATTAGCTTATGCCCTGAAGCGTGAGATTTAATTACCCTTATCTGAGCCAGCACAGCTACAAATGTTAATCACATTATCATCCAGTGAGCTTATGTTCAGCAAAGTGCCTACGCGAGGACCGCGCTTTCTGCTATGCAAGTCTGAGAGGACGCCTGCTCTGGCAAAGAATTATTTATTAATCTTACTTCTTTCTGTCCCACATTGGCTCGGGGAGAACATGATGGATTTGAGGCTATTTAGTGCCAGCTTTTCCCCCAGCTTTCCCTTGGAGAAGTTCCCACCAGGGTGGCTGCAAGCTCAGGAGAGCCCAGCCTGCATCTGACATGGGGACATTGATAAATAGCTTCTTTTTAGCTTGTCATCACCAAAAAAAAAAAAAAAAAAATTGATCTGCAGTCACTGGGAGACAGAAAAGAGGGTGTCCTGTTGCCACAGCCACTTAGGAAAAGGTAAGCACACTGTAAATCTCCCCCCATGTGTCTCCATGACCTCAGGCACGGGTGAGTTATAAAGGTTTAATGCAAATCCTCTGAACCAGCAGTTACTTACTCCAAATT